CTCGCTGTGGGTGGCAGAGACGGGGCTCCGGTGGCTGAGCTGGCTGACGGGCCTCTCCCGACGCGTGACGCTGGTGCCGGCCCCGCTGCGGGCAGTGTGGTCAGACTCGCTGCCGCTGCCAGCCGACTTGCGGTCCTTTTCTGTGCCAAGAGCTCTCCTGCTGTTCTCGCTGTTGCTTCGGTTCGAGCCGCTGCTTTTGCTTCCTAAAGGCCGCGAGCGAAAAGGACACAGAGAAAAGGAGAATTAGCTCACGTCCACTGCTGTCTCCCACATCAGCTCCTACCAAAGCCCACAGATCCGGGTACGACCACTGTCATGGCAACAACGATGACAAAACCAGGCCCGAACGTGCTGTTGGTGGCTTATGGGGTTTGGCAACGACAATCGGTAGAACAAAGCCGACAAGGTTGTGCCATGCACAGGTACACGTAGACACCTTGGAGCTTGCACAGTGAAAGCAGCAGCTGGCCCAGAACGACGGGCTGAAAGCCATCTGCTCCACGTAGACACCTTGGAGCTTGCACAGTGAAAGCAGCAGCTGGCCCAGAACAACGGGCCGAAAACCATCTGCTCCGCTGCCGCCCCATGGACGGGAGGGAGGGCGGGAGCGACAACGGACGGAAGAAGCAGGCGTTTGGGTTTTGACTCAAGCAAACGAGGTTCAATCTAATCGTAACTGCCTCTGTCCTTGCTATCTTCTATCAGCAAAAACTTTTCAGAAAGAAACTCATTTGCCTTCTGTATCATCCTTGATCACACTGAGCATGCTTGCACCCAGGGCCAAATCACCTGAGGCTAACAGATGTCCTCTTGCTGGCTTCAGTGGGTAGATTCTTTTAAAATTCATCACTACAGTGTCCTGTTGTTGGAGAATTCTTCAAAAAACAGTTCTCTGGTGAACTGCTCCATGAGGACTCAGCAATACACAGGATGCTCCCAGCAGATGCCACTAAATCTACTCCTAAAAAGACCGGACTGCTGCTGGCGCGCAAGCTGAGCTGTTGCTATGGACAAGCTCCACCACACTTCAGAACTGATCCTACATGAATTTGAAGGTCGTGCTCTGTTACCATGAGAGACAGGCTAGGATGATGTCAGGAGACGTTTACAAGTTAATTATGCTTTAAAAACACCCCCAAGAATCGAACCTACAGAACATCCCATTAAGGTCGTGCTATCTTAGTGCAAGACTGCCTTTCCAAAGCGGACCCTGAGCCAACGGAACAGGGGACCAGCTAGTATGCCTCTGCCTTTATCTCCTGATGCATTCTGCTGCCACCCACCCAAACCCTGCAAACCTTACCCAAAGACATTACTCCTTAATGCAAGCTCCTCATACGCAAGAATTCATCGCCAGTTCCATAGGATCACAGAATCATAGAAAGTTTTGGGTCGGAAGGGACCCCTAGAGGTCATCTAGTCCGACCCCCCCGCAGCGAGCAGGGACACCACTAACTAGATCAGGTTGCTCATAGCTTGTAGCCAAGTAAAGATCATGCAGGTGAGAAAGCAAGCTGCACTGAAAGCGTGTATTACTGATTTTGAGAGGTCTTCCACAGTCTGTAGGACTGAAACTGCCTTGTGGCAATCCATCACGTTGCTACTCCGGACCTCAGCATACCTGGTGTCGCAGCTCTAGCTCATCTGCCAGGGCTCCAAGAGGTAAAGTGGTAAAGTAGACTTCTTCTCTCAGAAGAACCTGGTTTTCTGCACTTGCCCTCCATTGCAGGAAGCAAATGGAGAAACCATCTACCATCACAGCAGTCTATCTAAGAATAACCGGCAGCACAGCCATTCTCTGGTCATGCTGAGGTTCTCTCTCTCTCCCTGACACGCCTTTAAATCTTGTCACAGAACAAAAACTCGTAAAGCCCCTTCTAAGCCTTGAGTTTAAACACAATCTAACAAGAGTGTCACCTTCTGGGCAGGGACTGGCCCGTTTTGGAGACATGCAGCCCAACCTAAAGCTGCGGTTTGACATGCTGCTAACGTGACACAACCACAGCAGTGTTTGTTTCCGTCTAAGGCCAGCTTTAAACCTACGTGTCACAAAATGGATTAAAAGAACCTGCATTTGAAGTGCCTAGAAAAGCTGCACTCAGCACTGCCACACCCGATCATCAGCCTTCACTCTCTGTTACTGCTGGACACCAAAGCTCTGCCCCCTGAAGCCACAGAGATTCCAGCCGCCCCAATACTTCATTTAACGGGGAGAGAAGCTTCCGTACGAACCCTCCTGAACAGGAGCAGGAGAGCCTCCAGAGACAGCGTATGGAGGCTCTGAAGACCCTTCTGCTGATCCTGTCTCAACAACTGACACCCTGTGAGGTTGAACAAATCCATCCTTCCTGCTTCGTTCACCTCCTCAGACTGCAACCTGATGATCTCTCACTATCCATCTACCAGAACAGGGACGTGACTTTGATCTAAACACTATGGTAACAGGGATGATGTTCTGCAGAGGACCTGGTCCTCACATCAGTGCCACTCCCTACAGCAAGCCTTTAAAAATAACCTAAGCCCTGGGTATCTAAGCAGGGACAGATGATGTGGCTTGGATGAAATAAGCAGCAACCAAAACTGGAACAGAGCCTTGAACGGAACTGCAACATCACATCAAACTTTGCTGGATCTTCCTCTCCATCTGCTCCTTGCCAGAACACAGTGTCAGTCTGTTTCCTGACCCAGATCTTGGGTTTTTGTCTGTAATCATCAGCAAATACACTGCATTCACCTCAAAAACGTGTGGCATTCACCGGGCTCTGGAGCAGCGCTCTTGTTCACCAGATGAATTCAGTTATGATCTAACACTCCATACTGAGAGTGACCAATACAGCCCTGTGTCCCAGGACTCTTCACACCTGCCTGAGACATCCGGACAGTGCTCAAGTGTCTTTCAGTAAACGAGCAGCTGAAGGGCACTGGGAGATAAATCCAATCCAGATGGATGACATCAGACTAATAAATTAGGAGCTGGGATTATGTGTTTATTTCTTTTATGACGGGCAGTGAGGAGACTGGTGATAGGATTTTCCCATCTGAGCTGACAGTTCCCTCTGTAGCTGCTGCAGCGCGGTCACGCAGGGGCCAGACAGGCTGATATGCTAACGCCACGCTGTCGGGCTACTGTGCATTGAGACAGGTTGAGCATCCAAGACAATTAAAAAGAAAAAAAAAAAGAAGAAAAAAATAAAGCTAAACGTTTGGGTTACAAGGATCTAAATGATCATGCTGTGAATTCATTATTATTATGGAGGCATTTGAAGCTTACCAATCCCCTAGAGTCAGCCATTCCTCTATGAATCCTTCAGTCTAACGCTTGCTCAGAACAAAACAAGGGAATAACAGTTACAAAACAAGAAACAACACAGAAGTGTAGTTTCCAAAACAGAACAGGAAAGCGCTGTAACCCTTCAAAATTAAACACCTTGGTGCCTTTCATAAGGCTCTCTCTAGCCAGTAACACAGGTCGCATGGATAAAATACCATACCTTTCCTATTCCAGCAGCAGAGATCTAATATTCTACTGCCCTACTGCCCACAGAACTCGCTGTCAAAAAAAAAAAAATTATATTCTTTCCAGTACAATTGGCTTGCAGTTCTAAAACGTCTGGATACCACTGTGAGCTTCCTCAAAAACACTTCTTATTTTGAGATCAGGTGGGAAGCAATAGTGCTAAAATCCTGTGAGCAAGTTCCTGTTATGAAATTCTTTTGTGCAATTTTGCAAAATCTTACTGGCTGCGGTAAGCAGGAAAACATTACATCCATGTTACTGGATGTTCACCACAAAAACACAGAGAATCCTCACCCTTTCTTTACAGGCAGCGTTTCCAAAAGCAAAACTCACTCTGGCAGTGATTAAAAAAAAAAAAAAATCTCTACAGCCAAAAAATACATAATTTTTATTTACTAAGGTTTAAAAATTAATCACAAAATTATCCTAGGGCAGGAAAGGAGGAGGTGAGGTTTTTAATCCATGCAGTATTATCTTTTCTCCCTGTCATATATTACAAAAGAAACTCTCCTCCCTGTGAGCAGTGTTTCAGCCCTGTAAACCATCTGGCTGGCCACCTCACGCTTGTCTCATACAAGCAGAGAGAGCAATTTTCCTTTTGTACTGAGCATTGAAGTGGAAGCCAAGAGCACCTTGGTTCTAATCCCTGTTCCGTCAGCAACAAAATGGCCTAATTTCTAGCACTACCAAGCGACTGCAGCCCCACCGTTGGCAACGGCTCTGACCTCTGAAAAGGAGGGCAATAGTTTCTCTGTTTTAGCAGGGTGGACAATTGAGTCAATTTTGTTGGCCTGCTCAGCGTTTTCTAAGCAGTCGTTTACCGTGTGGTGCTGTCGGGTAAGGAAAGCACAGTTGCCCGTGCCACCGTGGACATGACAAACAGCTTGGCTCTAGCTGCCCACGTGGCATTTCACAGAACTACAGCGTAACTCCACGGAGCAGGTGTTCTATTCTAGTCTATTCTACCGACTCGGTTAAAACACCGCGGGCAGTTTCAATACAGAGCTGAAAGGCTAACCCACTCCACCACAGACACAAACACTTCTGACTCAGCGCGGTCGCACCAAATCCATGCAGGCAGCATACAAAACCACGGGACGGGAGCACAGACAGTACGAAGGAACTCAAGCAAATGGTTAGGGATAATGACAGCTGTAGAAATAAATACCAAATTAACCATCTTACCTTCGCTTTGCTGGCTGCCTGCACTGCCACTACCATAGCTAAAGCCTGGGTCTTGGTATGCTGGTGGAAAACACGGAGGGGGCAGAGGATACTGATACGGGTATCCTTGGCCTAACGGCCAGGGAGCAGCAGGATGTGGAAGTGGAGCAAGGGTATCCTGATCCGAGGCTCCGCTAGAACCATTGTTAAGGTTCAGTGCAGCCATATCTGGAAAAGAGAGAAAAGGTGAGGACTGTGTTCTCGCCTCACAGCTGACTCCCGCATACTGACAGTGGCTGACACAGTGCGGTGAGGGACGAGAGCGACTCAGCCTCCAGAGTTCATGCAAAGCATCACACACAGCAGGACAGACATCAATATCTACCACTGAGCACCAATTTGCAGCATTTCTGTAAGTCAAGGAGGAATTATCCCCATTTTACAGACTGGAAACTGAGCGTGACTGACAAGCAAGGAGTCTGCAGCATCACCAGAAAGCAATCCTGCTCTCGTGAGCCTCAGTGCAACGCCCCATTTGATAAGTTCATCCTTCTCTTCCCATTGCTTGGTCCAACAGGATGAGCCAACCACTTGTCATGGAGCTTCACAACAAGGGCCTGTTGTGAAACGCCCGCTTGTGAAATCCTGCAGGACTCTGCCCCGTGCATCCTGCGAGCACAGAAGAGAACACACGCGCAGCTTCGCCCTGCGCAGACGAGGAACCTACTGCCACAGAGGTCTCCAAAGACGTAGTAGCACTGTTCCGAGAAGGTGATTTTGTTCACAGTGTGCCTGAGGTAGCCATGTTTTAACATGCTGCTGGCGTATTTTCTAGCCTCCCGTCGGTCTTTGAAGCCTTCCACGTGTGTGTAAAGCCAGTCAACCACATCTGCTCCTGAAATGAGAACACGAAGAGGAGACATGGGATCATCTGAGCCAAACCAAACTTTTTCGGTTTTCTTATCTTCACCTTACCGCACAGCCCACTGGCATTACTGTGCCAGGTACTGAACACAAATATGAACATGTAGCAATTTTGCCACAAAGAGCTTAAAACGTTATTTTCATGACTTAGCCTAACTGCTAAAATAGTTACCACCAAACATCAATAAAGAAAGCAAAGCAATATCTTGCATCCAGTCAACACTACATTAACAGTGACATCAAATACACACAGAGAAAATTTTACAGTTACACTGTTCAATCCCTTCTGAGCTGCAGCAATAACACGGGATTTACAGAAGTGACCAGGAGGGTCACGTGTGCAACAGGCAGATGTGACATTAGCAGAAGACCTAGGCTCCAATCCCTTTCTCGTCAAAAAGTAACTACAACCTAGACCGACTAAATGTTAGCACAGTTCAGGTCACAGGACAGTCAGAATCAAAGGCAGACCAGTTGTGGTCATTTTAAATGTTATTAAGATGCTTTATTAAGGTTGCACGGCTGTCTGGAACTGAAAATTCAAGGATTGTTGCTCTGGTGAACTTGGGCAGATTGCCAGAGCCACAAGCAGTTACATGGAAAACCTGAGATGTAACAAGGGTGGGCTAAGGACCAGCTCTGTGTGAGCATGGGAACCGTGCAGTATTTCGGGCTGTCCAGGCTCAAACAAGAGCTATTAGTTCCTTCCTGCCACACTTGGGGTTGTTCACAAATACCAAGTCAGGGGAATAGTCACAGGAAAAAAATAAGTTCACATAAAGGCAGTTTCTTCAGCCTAACTCCCAAAAGCCACTGTTT